AAAGTAATCCTGGAAATAAAAAATAATTAAGAAAGATGACATGAAAAAAAAATCAATCCTCCAGTCAAGCTTGGTCTTTTTCATTGCTGAAACACAGAAAAAGCACACAGATATTAGAATATATGTATAGTCTTTTTTGCCCTCTAATTCCGTTAATTTCCTGTGTAATTTATTATAAATTTTTTCTTGTTTTATGCAAATATTCAAATGACTACAGAAATCATGTTTTTCACTGCCCCGGGTATCTTCCATCAAGAAATGTAAATGTTTTCCTGATTAATAATAAGCTTTATGGAGCAGAGCGTGCTTCTAGAACAAATTATTCCTTTCTATGAGTACAATCATATTTTAATTTTATTGTCCTGCCAATTTTGGGCACAGGGGAGGGCAGAGGGAAGTAGATCAGGTTTATCAAGTAGGGAATTTGGGAAGGAAGAGTATTCATTTTATTGGCTTCTGCTAAAGATTTTCAGTACTTAATAGAACAATTCACTTAATTGTGAAAATAACAGCTTTTGATTTCTTTTCACTTTTTTTCTTCATTTCTTTCCAAAATACCCTTCAAACCTTTGAGATATCTCTTTTGTAAATCCACAATAAGAAAGTTATCCCAGTCACTCTTGTGGCTTGCTATTTGTATATTCCTTTTAATTATTAAGAAATTAGCCAATTTAATTTAAATATCCAGTGTAACTTATTTATCTATATTATTCTTGCAACCTGTCATTTTTAAATTCAATTTAAATCAGCCTCAACTTCTGTTTTATCCAGTAAAATGTGTTCCCCTTCTATAATATCTTTTAAATCCAGTTTTATGATAGCAGACAATCTTAAGAGTAACTTCTGAGTGCATTGTTCCCATGTATCCTTAAATTCATTCAAAATTATATTGTACCCTATTCTATATTAATGGGTCTCTTCTGCTTTACTTAATCTTCATTTCTGACTGTTACCACTAGCGTACAACCTTCAAAGTCCAATCTTATCTTGGGCTTTTTTCACTAATCAACAGCATTTTCTCACAGGAAAATATAATTTCAAAATCTTTATTTTTTTTTCAATAGAATTCTAAACTACCACTTTTCCCACAGGAAGAATTATTTTAATTTTTCAAAATCTTATTTCAGATCCATCCCCATAGTTTGTTTATAGCTTTCCAAAATCAGCGCTCTAATCACCTTTTTCCTGTTTATTCCAAAATAAGAATTTTTAAGTCCGTGAACATGCATAAAACTTCTTTCACTAAGGAAGAGACTCACAGAATGTAGTGAAGTTTGCCATTTGGAAGGTTCCTAATAACCAAAAACCAGTTAGCAAGCAATTTCCAGAAGTGATTAAGAAAGGAAGCATGTGAATCAGTGGTGGGATTCAGCCAGTTCGCACCACTTCAGGAGAACCGGTTGTTAACTTTCTGAGCAGTTTGGCAAACTGGTTGTTGGGAGAAATTATTAGGGCAGAGAACCGATTGTTAAATTACTTGAATCCCACCACTGATGTGAATCCGGTATCCATAAAAGCACCAGCTGGGGCTTGGAGCAAGATGGTGATCCCTCAGTTCCGAGACCCTTAAACAAGGGGTGAAATCCAGCAGGTACTGACAGGTTCTGGAGAACCGGTAGCAGAAATTTTGAGTTCGGAGAACTGGCAAATACCACCTCTGACTGGCCCCAGAGTGGGGTGGGAATGGGGATTTTGCAGTATCCTTCCCCTGCCACGCCCACCAAGCCACGCCCACCAAGCCACACCATATCCACCAAGCCATGCCCACAGAACCGGTAGTAAAAAAATTTGAATTTCATCACTGCCTTAAACCACTATCTTGCAGTATTTTCCCAGGGAGCTACTGCATGGAATGCATGCGGGTCATCCTGAGTCCTCTCTTGTCCAGAGAGGAATTCTCAGAAGCCATTCATTGGCTCTTCGTTCCACAGTGGTCATCAGCTCTGCTCTCAGCGGAATTGTCTTCAGTTCACCATTGCTTTCCTGGCAATTATTCCATTGCATTATTCTTTTTTTTCCAGGAGTTGTTCTATTGTCACTGTTAAGTCCTGTTCATGAGAAACGGTTAAATAGGTTTTCTTCTATTGGATAAATGCGGGAAAGTATGTACTCAAAACTGAGAAAACAATGAATTAAATTATATCCTTCTCTTCTTCATAATGTTTATTAAGGTAACTGATTCCATACTGATAGAAGCAGAACAGAGGTAGGGACATTAAGCAAGACCATTAAGAGGGATGGAAGTTAAATCTTCATTCCAAGCTTTGGATGTAGATGGCAAACAGGTGTTTGTTTTACTTCTGCATCTATGAATAGCATGATAAATCATCCTGGCCTATTTTTGTGTTCCTCTAAAGGTTTCCATAAGGCCCGGTGAACCAATGTCTCCAAGAGATTGTTAGATCTGACAGAATGTCACACAAAATTAGGCCAAAACCTGTTCCCTTTCATTCCAGAGAGCAGGACAGAGAACAATTGTTTTAAGATACAGGAAGGCACATTCTATTTGAATTTTAGAGATTAAAAAAAAACAAGTAAGAGGAAGAGACTGTGCACATTTCTTGCGATGTGGATTTCTGAGAGGTTGGACTCAATGATCTCTTCCAATTCTATGATTCTGTGGGAAGCCCCTCCCCACCTCAGAAGAATGAAATATTTTGGGAAATATTTTTTAAAAAGTCAGAATATTATATTTTCCTAAAGGAGAAATGGAAAAATATGTTTTAGAAGCAGAAAGCAGCCCCCAAGTCTTTCTTAATAGCCTACAGCAGATGCCAGCACTTAAGAGATAAAGAGCTTATTGAAAGAGAAAGACAAGTATCTAGATAGTTCTATTCATAAGCAAAGCAAATACTGCAGGCAGAAATCCATTCAAGACAGTATATTTCGAAACTCCTTGGCAGAATGGTAGGGTTAGAAAGCAGCTCCTCACCCAAGATCCAACAGAGGACAAAAGCCATTAGCTACAATAGAAATTTCCCAACACCCTTTCAGAACACAAGCCCCATCATTGCGCCACTCCCGGAGCAGACCAAACTTCAAAGTCACAGAAACCTGGGAGCTCAGATAAACAATAAGCCAGAGGTTGACCAGATTAACTCAGACAAGCACCTAGGATTTGCATTTTCTCTTTTGCCTATAGAGCCAGCTATGACCCCTACATAACCCCTACCTTACCTCCATAGGAATCTGACAACATCCAATAGAATATTAAAGGACATGTTCTTGCACAGGAACAGGAAGCTCAAATACAAAGCCCCAAGAAGGTATCAAACCCACCCACTCTCAACTTCATTTTGTCAGCTGCCCCAGAACTTTTATGGTTCTGTTCACCAATAAATGGACCTTTTTTTCAATCAGCCTCCAGCCTCCATTTTGTTTCCAGTGGCTTTCTCCTGGATTGGAATTGAACCAGATGGATTTTCCTTCCAACAATTCCTTAATTTTATAATGGAAAAAAGATATGTGGTATTGATCACTAGACTGTGTGATGAGCATCTTTCTGAGCACTTTAATTACAGTTAAATTCCAACTATAAGGCTAGAATTCATAGTGTTGTCCTGGAACATTGTGGAATTTGATAGGAAATCTATTGGTCGTGCCTAAAGGATTTCTAGATTTGTTTTTGTGAATTATGCCACTTGAAATGGCAATTTGGATGTAAATTCTGACTTGAGCTAGTTCTTTTTTGTTTATTAGAATTATTTCCTGCCTCAAGGCAACAAATATAGCATCCCTGCAACAAATTTCTTTATAACAACAATCCTGTGAGACAGGTTGGGCTGACAAGAATAACTCAAAGTCACCAAATGAACTTCCATGGCTGAAAGAGACTTTCAGGTTCCTCCAACCTGCTCCAATATCCACTACGTCTTACTGACTTTCAACAAATCCCCCTCCTTCCCCAAACTTAGTCTTTTTAAGATATTTTGAACTACAATTCGCACTACTGCAGCCAAGCCTAGTTAAGGAATACTGGACTGAAGTGTTTTGATGATGTTGGTGTCAGTGGGCGGAGCCTCCCGCCGGTTTTACTACTGGTTCTATATATCTGGTGCAAACTGGGGGCAACCCACCACTGGGTGTATCTAAATGCAAACCTGATTTTTAATTAAGAAAAAAGTGTGAGAATAAAAATATTACTCATAGATTCTGTACAATTCTCCTCAGTAACAGTTCCACTGAATTCAATGGTGCGTATTCCTACTTAAGAGATATATAACACAGTAGTCCTTGACTTACAACAGTTCATATAGTGAGCGTTAAAAATTACAATGGTGCTGAAAAAAGTGACTTACGACCATTTTTCACAGTTACGACCTTTGCAGCATCCCCATGCTCACATGATCAAAATTCAGATGCTTGGCAACTGACACATATTTATGATGGTTGCAGTGTCACGTGATCACCTTTCTGACAAAGTCAATAGCGAAGCCAGATTCATTTAACAACTGTGTTACTAACTTAACAACTTCAGTGATTCACTTAACAAATGTGTCAAGAAAGGTCATAAAATGGAGCAAAATTCACTTAACAAATGTCTCGCTTAGCAACAGAAATGTTGGACTCAGTTGTGCTCGTAAGTCGAGGACTACTTGTATTCCTCACACTAGAACCCATGGCTGCTTCTTTCTAATAGATCCCATTTTTGGGTTCAATTGTGATCGTAAGTTGAGGACTACCTGTATTCAGTTACAGCAGGAGAGATCCAGGATGTGATTTTCTTCTGCCAACAAATCACAGAGCCATATTATTCTAAATGACCCTTTGGAATATGCTCTGATTTTCTCTTTAATCCAGTACCACATGTTGAATGAAGCATTAATGCCAATTTACAGGAATTTAATCTTAAGGATCCAGGCAACATTTGTCACCTCAGACTTTGAGAAATGCTGAAGCCCAGAAGCCACATAGTTAATATCAAAAGGACCAGCCCTCGTCCCTGCTGCTTGATGATTGGCTACCCGCACTTAGCTTCATCCTTTTTATACTAGCTGTTGAGCTGGAAGGTGATAATGTGTTGACACAGAGAGAAAGAGGGAGAAACACAAAGAGCATCTACAGCAAGCGGCAACACAGATTTTTGTGGAAGTGAGGCCGGGCAGGGGTGCAGGAGCCCTGTCCCTCTTGCTTTCCAACCATGAAGGGCAGACTGAAAGGAGCCTGGATTCTCTCCTTGCTCTTGGCTAGTTTATTTCAGCCCAGCCTGGGACAGGCACAACAGAAGGTAAGACACCGTAGCGCTGTTTCAAGGAGGGAGGTGTTTGAATTGTGTAGAAGAAGGATATCATCAGACCAGACAGGTGATGCTTTCTGGTTTCATGTCAGACAGTGTTTGCCTGCAGAGCCAGAGGTTTACAATATTTGTGATCAGAGTAATGATGCAGACATCTTAGGAATCTATAGCTACTAGCAGTCAATCCGAACTGGTTAAACGAGGGCCAAATCCACTCCTCCAGAATCACGCTATTAGAAAGAGAAAGACTGAAATGAATCCCAATTTAGTTTAGCCAACTGGCATTATTTTATTTCAGCATTGTTATTGTATTATCTATTGTAACAAAGTGTATATGGGGGGGCATTTATTTATTACAATAAGACCCACGTTTGAACCTCTACTGTCAGACTACATCAAAGGATAAAGAGGGTTATTTCTCCCAGCATGAACCAGGAGCTTCCCAACAACCAGTGAAAGGTAATGAGGGTGTTTGCCTAGCAATAGTTTAGCGTGCCGTCCTTTCACCCCTGAAATTTTTATCTGTTGGCTACAATGAAAGCAATTTGTGACCTCAGCAGGCTTGTTTCAACAAGACGGAAGATATGTGCACATTTTTCCGCCTGATGAAATAAAGGCAATCTTGTAAATTTCATTTAGGATTAAGGCTCTGCTGATACTGCTGAGCTGGGCACCAGGTAAACCTGAACTGCAAATACACTTTTGTGTAATGTGAAGGGCTAGCTCTCTACCCCGCAGGGTGGTTGTGACATGAATGAAGTCATTTTTTTTTCTTTCGAAAGTACAATTCAGCATGATATTAACGACGATGGGAAAGAAAAGATGGACGCATCTTTCTCAATGGCTTTGCCCTTCAGAGGATAATTAGAACTGCAGAAAAAACAATTACTACCAACCTTTTTTCCATTGAGGACCTGTGTACTGCACAAGTCAAAAACAGGGCTGTGAAAATATTTACAGACCCCTCGCATCCTGGACATAAACTGTTTCCACTCCTACCCTCAAAACAACGCTATAGAGCACTGCACACCAGAACAACTAGACACAAGAACAGTTTTTTCCCAAACGCTATCACTCTGCTAAACAAATAATTCCCTCAACACTGTCAAACTATTTACTAAGTCTGCACTTCTATTAATCTTCTCATCGTTCCTATCACCCATCTCCTCCCACTTATGACTGTATGACTGTAACCTTGTTGCTGGTATCCTTAAGATTTATATTGACTGTTTCCCTATGACTAACATTAAGTGTTGTACTTTATGATTCTTGACGATGTATCTTTTCTTTTATGTACTCCGAGAGCGTATGCACCAAGACAAATTCCTTGCGTGTCCAATCACACTTGGCCAATAAATAATTCTATTCTATTCTACCTGTCCAAGCAGAGAAAGGGAAACCCTGGAAATAATAAAGGAACTCAGAACTACAGAGCTTTCTGGTGAGGCAAATATTAGCCCAGGGGGAAAAAAAAACTGTTCCAGGAGTGCGCTGCAATTAGCAACACAAATATGGTGGAACAATTCTTCTACGTGGCCACCTGTATTTAGCACAGTGGACAAGATCATCCTCAAAGGACTTGGTTACACCAAGAGCTGTGTATTTACACAGGCAAACTCTGGCAAACATTGCGATTGTGCTGAGGTCAGAAGAGCAGTGAAAGCTGCCAATGCTGACAGAGGAAGTTTAATGGTCAATCTATCATGTAAACTAGTGTTTCTCAAACTCAGTAATTTTAATATGTGCGGACTTCAACTCCCAGAATTCCTCAGCCAGTCTTCTGGCAAGTGAAATATTATATTCTCAGAGTACATAAACTGGCAGGTAAAATATTGCATTCTCAGAGTACATAAACATGTATTTAATCAGTGTGGAAACCATTCTTTAATAAGATTCTGGCTCCACTTTTAAGCAGTAAAATTTATGTGAAAACAGAAGTAACAACTCCAAAGTTTTGTGGCACCTTCAAGGATAACACGTTTGTTACAGCATACTTTTCCTGAATTACTTGGATTTTTTTCCCAATTGCTTCAAGTACTTAGAATTGGACTGAAAACATGATTTTTACTTCTCTGGGATATAAATGGAAACCTTTCCAAATCTATGGCATACCTTTATATATACAGCTAGTCCTTGACTTACGACTGCAATTCCACTCAGCATTTCTGTTGCTAAGCGAGACATTTTTTAAACTGAATTTTGCCCCATTTTACAACCTTTCCTGCCACAGTTGTTAAGTGAATCACTGCAGTTCATAAGTTAATAACATGGTTGTCAAGTGAATCTGGCTTCCCCATTGAATTAGTCTGTAGGAAGATGACAAAAGGTGATCACATGACACTGCAACTGTCATAAATATGAGTCAGTTTCCAAGCGTCTGAATTCTGATCATGTGACTATGAGGATGTTGCAATGGTCATAAATGTGAAAAATTGTCATATGTCACTGTTTTCAATGCCGTTGTAATTTTGAAAGGTCCCTAAATGAACTGTTGTAAGTCAAGGACTATATGTATAACGTGTTTTCCTTCTTCTAATAATCGTGAGCCTGTTTTTTTGTCACCTGAATTTTTTTTTAAAAAACCAAAGTATTGTTTCATAAAGAAGAGTGAGAAGAAGAACTGTGGGGCTAACCAGCCTTCTTTGATCCAGGTTGCTGTTTTCCAGGCATTGGTGCTGTACTTTCCCAAATTTCTTCCAATCTGCCTCTCTGGGTGGCACCAAAGTTGGGTGGATGTACACATGATATACAATAATGACATTACCCCTGAGTGTACAAAGATGAGCGTGCAACTCATGGTAGAGTCTAACCTACACACTCAGTTGGGAATAAATATTGAGGGTCTCAATGGAATTTCGTTTCATAATCTGTCTATCATGAATTACAATTTCTTATAGCTATTAGTCAGAAAAAATTAGTAAACGTGTCTAGAACGGTGATGGTATGGACGTTAGAGATAATATAATATGCACCCTCTCACACACAGGAAATGCTAATGCATTAAAATTGCTCTTAATATGTACATGATTTGCTACCAAATTGCCTTATTTCTTTGGTTCTGAATTAGATTTTGACAGGACTTCAGTTATCTCATCAATATGAGGAAGCAAGATCCTGCCCGCATGCTCCTAATTCTCAACCGATCCCAGATCGAGCCAAGGTAGGATCATCTAATGTTTGCTGATTCCTTAAATGAACAATCTACTTTAGCCTACTTGTATATTCTGGAGTACTGGATGCTCCATTTAGAGAAGAATGTAGTTACCAACTCTTTCTTTAACATCTTGAGCACAATATATAGGATAGTAGGCTGTGGCTTTGAAATAGGCTCACTATTCATACACTATTCATACACTCAAAGACAGAATAGAAACTAGAAACTCAAAGAAAAATAGTTATGATGACTGTTTTTTCACATTGCATATTTTATGGGTTCCGGGGGGTTTGCATATTTTAAAAGATTTCTATACTTAGGTTAATTCACATTTTTAAAATTATTTTTGTCACATTTCAGATCTGAATCTGATTTGCAAATCTCCATTGATCTGTGGGGGGGGAAGGAAAGAGTTCTTCCTAGAATCCTGGAAATTTACCAATTCAGACTTTTTTCTACATGTTTTACTTTAACTCAATGAAAGCAAAATCCATCTTGCTTTACATTGTTTGAAGAGAGGGAGGGAGGGAGAGAGGGAGAGAAGGTGGGGAGAGGGAGAGAGAGAATAGTGGCACACAGAGAGAGAAAAAATGAAATTCTGTCTTGTTGGCATCTTTGCTAGAGTAAAATAGGAAATCTTATTTCTTGATACTTTTTCACCTGTGCCTTTTCTTTCTCTAAAAACAATTAGGTCAGGGCAATAGTATGAAATTGCAACTTACAGTACGTTATTTCAGTTTGCTGTTCAGTGTCAAAGGCCAAAATCTCTCTCCCAAATCAAAAAGTTTACTAAACTAAATAAAATTGAAATAAAATATTCTGAACAAGAGACTTGAAGTAATGTAGGTTTATAATTTCTTAATTTGTGTAATTTACTGACTGGTACATTGCCTGTTAAACTACAAAGACTGAGTAAAGAGAAAATGAATGTTGTCAAGTTATTCTTTAGCTGAAGCTTGCTTAGACGTCCAACACTTTACCATGACATTGCCCCCAAAATGGATATTATTTTAGAAGTGTAGAAACCAGACTTTGTACTCTAGCTTTTTTATAGTCTGATTCTGGACATACCAGATGCATCAATGTGAAGCCTAGATGTCATGGGATATTGCATACATTAGTGCAAGCACTATGCACAATAAGGAACTACAGGTTAAATTAATATTCAATTTTAGCATGTTAAGCAATCTCATGACTTTAATCCTTATTTATTAAAACTATATGGTATTTGTCCAGCATGTATTAATTTTTAAAAAAAATTTTGAATGTAACTACCTGGAATAATCCAAAGCCTCTGAATTTTCATACTATTAATATATTTCTTTAAGTTATGAAATTCCTCTGAGGTTAAACATGCAGTCCCCACAAATGTTTCCCAGAGATTTTAATGTCTTCCTAACAATCAAAACTTCAAAAAGTAAAGTATGCCATGTTGGTGAAAAGGCTTCACCTTTATCTTTTCAAGCAGTTTTTTTACACTGCTAAGGGTAAGAATGTATCAGTTCCAGTTTTTCGGTATCTCAAATTGCAAATTAGTCATTCATTTTGGAACATGTTTATAACTATTTTGCCAATTTGGTAAAAGGAAAACAAAAAGGTGCATGAAATGGAACAAAGATTTGTGTGCATGGCTGCTGTACAATTTGTCAAAGGAAACGTTTTAATGGGAACAAAATGCCACTATTTTTGGTGAAGAGAAAGGACACAAGAAAAAAAAATGCAGTTCTGTTCCTATTATTTCTACTGGCCTTCCAAACCTATAGTTACATTTAGCTGTAGTTACACGTAGCAGGCAGCTATGCTTCAAAGCATTGAGCTGTTTTAAAGACAGAATGGTTTGCCCTCAATTTGACACACTCCGAATACATTGGACTTCAGCTCCCATAATGACAGTGGTTTCTGGGAATTATGGTTGAGAGTTATGGTTTAACACTTTTCTCTAGTAGAGGAAAGCTGATGTAAGGTTCTTCTTTTCTTTTTTCTTTCCATGGATCCTACATATATAGCTGGTAAGTTAAATGTGACATCATGAATGCTCCAGCACTGGAAATTTTTAAGAAGAGATTGGACAACCATTTGTCTGAAATGGTGTAGGGTTTCCTGCCTGAACAGGGGGTTGGACTAGAGGACCTCCAAGGTCCCTTCCAACTCTGTTATTCTAAACCTCTGACTTAGTACTGGAAACCTCCTGAAGTAGTTCCATGGAAGAGAGAGGTTGTGGCCTCTTTCTTCGTCCTTTAAGTTGAAATGTTCCTTATATCCACTTCAGAGGTGGGTTTCAGCAGGTTCTGACCCGTTCTGCAGAACCGGTAGTGGAAATTTTGAGTAGTTCGGAGAACCGGTAGTAAAAATTCTGACTGGCCCCGCCCCCATCTATTCTCTGCCTCCCAAGTCCCAGCTGATCGGGAGGAAATGGGGATTTTGCAGTAACCTTCCCCTGCCACGCCCACCAAGCCATGCCCACCAAGCCATGCCACGCTCACCAAGCCACACCCACAGAACCGGTAGTAAAAATAATTTGAAACCCACCACTGATCCACTTGCTTCTGGGTTATGCTTCTTGCCCTTTACACGTTCACTGTCTTGCAAGGAGAAGATCTTATTAGTATTATTGGAAACATATATTGAGGTATTACCTCAACACATTGCTTTTCCTACTGATGAAAGCTTCTGATGAAATTGAACAGCCTATTCCATTTCAGTTTGGGTTATAGACAAGCTATTAAACTGAACTGGAGTTGGTGTGGGAATCTGGACCACATGTTAGAGCTCATGGAAGTAGGACTATTATGTCTTGTACTGTCTTCCAGGTGGATTGCTATGACTCAGTTCAAGGATCAGCCCATGATTATGGGGCTCTCTCTATAACTGGTGATTACATCGCCTTCCGGAATTATGTGGGGAAGTATATCCTCTTTGTAAATGTGGCCACTTTCTGAGGACTCACAGCACAATATCTTGGTAAGAACTTGAGCTAGGAAGAGAAGTACACTCTAACACGATCTCTTGCTAAAGTAAGCAGGTGTTGGATGTCTAGGCAAAACTCCAGCAACTTTGCATCTACATCCAGATGGAATTGGAAATGCTCAGAAGTATTTAATAATTGCATCCCATAGTCCAGATTTGATTGGTCATTGAAGGCTGAGAGTTAGAATAAAGGCTTCCTCAAGTTGAATTTGACTTCTGGTAACTACTGTGGTATATCCATGTACATCAACATGGGTGATGGCTATTTTCAAGGTCTCCACAACATTACATTTCATGGAGTACTGTGAAGGAAAAACATGGCAGTGAAACTATACTGTATTAAGCCATCTAAGGTTTAGGGGTGTATCTTATATATTAAAAGTCATGACAACGGACTTGTCCCAGTTTAGGCTGCTCCAGAATGGCGGTTGTACTGATCTCAGATCAGGGATGTTTCCTGCCATTCCTTCATTCCAGAGCTTGGGAAACCAAGCCAGTCATCTCCTAGTTTAGCCTTTTGCTCCAAAGAAAAGGCTACAAAAATATTTTCATCATGGTGTTTTCTCTAGAGCTGCAGGTATGTAATTTCTCAGCAACAGGAACTTCTATCTCATCCCCCTTCTTGGTGTTATGGATCTCCTCCATACTACAGTCATTGGGCCACTGTGGTGCAGAACCAGTCCATCCCCCAACCTCCAACAGAAGGTTTTGTTGCTTGTTCTATATAGCAATAGCACTTAGACTTACAGTATATACCCCTTCACAGTGGGGTATATACAGCCCTCTCTAAGTGGCTTACAGAGTCAGCATCTTACCCCCAACAATCTGGGTCCTCATTTTACCGACCTCGGAAGGATGGAAGGATGAGTCAACTTTGAGCCAGTGAGAAACAAACTGCCAAATTGCAGGCAGCCGGCAGACAGCAGAAGTAGCCTGCTGTACTGCATTCTAACCACTGTGCCACCATGGCTGACCAGATGATGGTCAGATAAAAGTTTTTAAAGTTTTCTTCCTTGAGAAAGAACAAGAAAGGAATGGATCATCTCTTTACTGCCTATTTAGGCCTCTCCTTTACAGCCACCATGAAGATTTGTCTGGTAAAGGAGAAAAAGAGCTGCTAGGCCCTATGCTGTGATTTAAAAAAAAAAAGTCATTTCAAATTAAGAAGGCAAAGATGGTGGCTGTGTGAAATACCTTACAGAAAGTTCAGCAAGCTCAATAGAATGTTCATTACCTGATAGGATGTTCAAAGTACAGTCCTATTGCTGAACTATCCTATTGCTTTATCTAACAGAACTGAATGCACTACAAACTTCACTGGGAATTGACCGACTGGTCATCCTAGGCTTCCCATGCAATCAATTTGGAAAACAAGAACCTGGACAGAATTCTGAAATCCTTCAAGGAATAAAGTGAGTTTATGCAAGAAATGCCTTCCTGGTTATACTACTCATATAAGATTATGCTAGCTTTGCCAGCCTTCCCAACAGCTAGATTGCTGTCTCCTTCTGTGGCTTTGCCATTTATTCTTTAATGGGCTTGAATTTGGGTAGCCTAAGTCTTTCCCATTGTTAGGCTCTTTGACCTGTTCCTAAAGCCAGAAATGATTATTCTACAAACATACGTCTCAGTCTCTTCCACAAAACTTATTGAGAAGAAAGAGATGGAGTTACTAGTAGGATTCTGGCAAATGAATTTGTTCCCATCGAAAATCAGTGTATTCGAAAAGTTAAGGTGGAAACTTCTCTGTTTTCTTTTGAACTACTTTCCTAGTACACTAGAAAGCCACTTAGTATTTTCACTAATAACTTGGCCTGCAGCTAGTTAATTAAACAAATGGTCTCCTTATTCTTTTATCAGTCTGGAACCAGCCATTACATTTATCCTTTCTGCATCTTAATGAAAATTGGGCAACCAATGAAACTTTTCATCCCAGAATAGATTAGAATTTGGTATCCATGGGCCACATTTAGATAGGGTAGTTTTGGGGATGCTTGAAGATTTGAATTAGTAGAATGATGACCTGATATTTTCACAGATTGTATTTTTAGGAATTTCCTCAATTTTGCATGGATTAAATGCATAATGCCAAATGTGTCAGTTTTGTTTGACATCTTCTTTACTACCCCCAAAGAACACTTACATTCAGCAGTTTGCCAACAGTTTCAATACTGTGCGTTGTTGGAGCTACAAGGGTTGTGACATAAAAGGATGGGCGCTGCATGTGTCTTACCCATGCAACTTTGAACTTTTCTCCAAGCAATGATTTTTAAAAAGTCATATTAATAGCTGCACAGCCAGATACAAGGGTCCTTGGTGGCAAATGATCAGGTCTAATATAGAAGTGAGAAGTTCTCCTCAGAAGAGAGCAGGCCATTTCTTGCTGCATTCTCTCTGAAAGGTTCTATTAATGTTCTTCTTTGTTCCAGATATGTCAGACCAGGGGGAGGCTTTGTCCCCAATTTCCAACTCTTTCAAAAAATCGATGTAAATGGGGAAAATGAACATAAAATTTACACCTTCCTGAAGGTTTGTATTGGCTGCACTGTTTCACCAATGATGGACAATAAGATTTGGAAGATATTAGGGACAAACTTCTAATGCCTCAATCTTAAAAATTTCGCCTACTTATGCAATGTTCCTGTAGGCATGTGGATAGATCAAAATTTCCCCAATATTTTTATTTATTTCTCCCAAAAAATTTCCTCTGGAGGGATGGAAAATCTTCTGGGTGTTGTGATACTGTAGAGCTGCAGACAAATAGCAAAAAAATTACCTTTCTCCCTTGTGATAATTGGAAGTCTTAATGCAGCAGAAAATCTTATTAAAGACAGAGCAATGTTGAGCCCAAAATATATGTGTTATTTATGCAAACAAAAATTAAGATGGAATTGCTTAGAAAGTGAGGGATAACTGGATTTTAAGGATCATTCTACAATGCTATAACAAATCAGTTTGGAATAGAATATATAACTCCATAATAAGGGGTCTTCGGTACTCTCTGAGCTTGGTTATTTTCTTGCAGACATCCCATTACCCAAACTAGGTAACATCTCTGATGATGTTACCTTGTATGGGTAATAAAATGTCTGCAAGAAAACAACCAAGCTCAGAGAGTACCAAGGACTCCTCATTTTAACCCTGAGCTACAAATATTTTCCTGTATGGGTAACTTCATAATAAACATTGACTATAAGCCTCTTAGAAATTCAGATGTCATTGAAATAAAGTATGCTGTTTTATAGATTTTGTTCCCCAGTTTCCTAAATTTCTCTGTCTCTCTCCATGCTACCAACCCTACAGCCATTAGATTAAAGATGGGGAAAAAAATACAATTCTAATTCTAAAAACATTAACAAAATTTAACTTTATTTTCCCTGATAGAACTCCTGTCCACCAGTTGTGGAAACTTTTGGTGACCCGGCGAGACTCTTCTGGGCACCTATGAAGATCCATGACATTAAGTGGAACTTTGAGAAATTTTTGGTTGATCCTCAAGGAAAGCCTGTGATGAGGTGGTTTCACCGGACAAATGTTTCCACTGTAAAGAATGATATCATAAGATACATGAGGAAAAACACAAATGGATAGACTCCATACAAATGAAGATAGATTCATGGGGGGGGGGGGGGGGACAGGCTGCAGACATATCCAGACATATTTATTTTCTTCTGTCAAACAACCGAACATCCAAATATCCTTTATTCGAAGCTAAAATAAGGTTGTTAGAATTTACCTTACATAGTGCCAATTTACATACTAATAATTCTAAATACTAATATCAAAATTCTTAACTAACGTACTTTCAAGCATAACTTTATAAAAGCATGTTGATCTCAGTTTACTCAACGAAAGCTTTAATTTCCACAGGATGGCTCCAATATGTATTGGGAAACCATTTTAGTAAATTCTGATAATGCTTCAAACATCCGTTACTTGAGCATGAGTAACAAGACCAAGATAATATTTTGGTTTTGCATCTCTAGTATATTATGATACTAAAGAAAAGTGAAGACTATTTCTCCCTTTCCTTATTAACATATTGATGCAGATTATACTGTACAAATTTTAAAAACAACAAAATTAAGATGTCTATGGAGATTCTCAGTCATCCAGGTTATGGTTGTCCCAAAGGTGATTTTTCAAGAGGCAACTGGACTTTCTGTTTTTTCTTTGAAGATGTTTCACTTCTCATCCAAGAAGCTTCTTCAGAGCTGAAGAAGCTTCTTGAATGAGAAGCGAAATGTCTTCAAAGAAAAAAGAGAAGGTCAAGTTGCCTCTTAAAAAAGCATCTTTGGGAAAACAAAATTAAGATTTTTTTTTTAAAAAAAATACAAGCTATACATTGGCCAATTGTGTCACAGTATTAAAGTTAATCTAGTTTATTTTTAGCAATTTAAACACATTTCTAACATTGGATGAACATTAAGTACTATGTTCATTAAGGGTTTCTCACTTAATTTTGTTGTTTTAAATTGCAATGTTATTTTGGTTCTAGCAAAAAAAAAAATTAATCAGAATTCAGGCACATAACCAAGTCTCTTATGACACCTTAAAGGCTACAGATTTGTTACTTGTTAAGAAACAGAAATTGCATCTGCAATACAATCATGTCCTCACCCTTTGACCCCCTTTCTGCGATCCTTACTAACTATCTGGGTTACACCCAGTTCTACTGAAAATAAGATGAGCCCTCCAATATAGATGGATTTAATACTTTTGGCATCTCTGGATAAGTAAAGTTTACCTCCCTTCCTCAAAATGTAGAATAGAGACCCCATCTGGAGAATTTATGAACTGGAATTTCTTAAATGACTCTCTTTCTGACAGTGGAGGAAAGAGGGGCAAAGGATTTTGGGGCAAGGAAAATGCATCAGAATGACGGTTAGGTCTGAAAACTCCTTACGAGTGGGACCTGGCCTAAGACTGCAAGGCAGTGGAGTAGTTCTTTAGTGCATTCAGCTACTTCACTACAACCTTTGCAGAGATGTATTTCTTCCTTTTAATCCCAAGATCCCAGGCTCTCTAACCTCCACATCTTCTGTCTAATAAAAAAAGCAAATTCTCAGTGCACTTCTGTTGTGAGACTCTCTTTCAATACAGATCAAACCTCCATTTTACTACTTTCGTCATTTTCATATTATGAAAGAATCGAGATTTTAGGTTTGAGCGTATCGGATAGATCACATTGCTTCTTGGAAAGGCCATGTGTGCATACAGTTATACACTAACTTTAGAATAGAATAACAGGGTTGGAACTTGGAAGGGACCTTGGAGGTCTTCTAGTCCAACCCCCAACTTAGGCAGGAAACCTACACCACTTCAGACAAATGGTTATCCAATCTCTTCTTAAAAACTTCCAGTGTTGGAGCATTCACAACTTCTGGAGGCAAGTTGTTCCATGTATCTTTCATACACATATATAAGATATATAGGCGACGATTCTATATTCAATGGCAGAAGCTGAAAAAGACTGCTGTATATGGGCTAAATGACATCAAAAATTTAATTGTCTGTTGCACTTTTTCCCTGCCTTCTAGAGGTTTTTCTGGATTTTGATAGCTCAGATCTGTAAGCACTCATGTTTGCATGGTTGAATAGAGGATTTCTAGGTTTATAACTCACAATGTTGGAGCCAGGATGCCATGCACCAAAAGCACATGTGTGATAGACACTATATTAAGCTAAATATATTCTCCATGATTTCAAGCATGAATTCTTAAGGGTAGAAAAGGCAGCAGTGCTTTTCCCTGAATTTATTTTCATAATATCCACATTCAAAAAGAAAAGTTCCAGCTGTGTGTGAACACTTTTTTCCCCTTTACCAACATTGTAGGGAATAGTTTGGGCGGCATACCACATACCTCAGTCTCCTTTCATAGCAATTTGAAAGGTATTCAATAAAAACAAGCATGCTACAAAAGAAAATATTTCAGAAGAGCAAAACTCAGATACAGAACTCCAGGCACTGCCCAGGAAAACTTGTATTTTATTCAACTGAATATAGTTAAGATAATTTTACACAATTTTTCAAAACTTTTTTGAAACCAGAATACAGTTGCTAAAATATTGGCCTGCATAAATACAGTGACAGCTTATACTTAGAATTTCTCAAAATGTTTTATAAAGATGTCTCCATTTAGAGACTGTAGACCAGAGGTGTCAAATTCAAGGCCCGTGGGCCAAACGTGGCCCATGGGGTGCTTAGATCTGGCCTGCAGGGCCGGCCTGGAAACAGCAAAGAACCGGCCCGCGGTGCCTCTGCTTGCAAAAATGGGTCGCGGAAGGGCTGCACATGGCTCCCCCGCAACTGGTTTTGACCACCAGAGTGCTCCAGGAGGCCTTCCAGGCCCAAGTGTATAAAACCATGTGTGTGGAGGTGTGGTCCCGTGTCACACCCACCATGGCCACGCCCAGCCCCCACCCCGGCCCTCCGAGGTTAAACACAACCTTGATGCGGCCCTCAATGAAATTGAATTTGACACCCCTGCTGTAGACGGACCAAACTTCCTATTGTATCTCTTCTTTCACATCTTCCTACAATTTATTCTATAATAATTGAAAGACCTATGACAAAAATTAAACTCAGTGAAAACGTTTTTATTTAAAGAGATTTTTACAGATTCTTCAACACTGCATTTTTCTTTGCACTGTGAACATTCTGAAATTATTTTTCCTTCCCTTTATTTCGTAAAGAAAAAGAAAACACTCAATTTATTTCTCAATTATGTGCTTACTGGCGAACATGAATTCTATTTTCAAATGAGCATATATAGTTTTAGAGGAGCATGTAATTGTAACAAGCAATTTATGTCACTTCTAGTGCTACACACTTTGAAAAATGCTTGGCTGGTTCAGCATTTCATATGAGTGCTCCAAGGATCAGTAATCTGAAAAAAAAAAAGACCATTCTTCATAGCTGTCTCCCATTTAAATCATGGGAGGGCCAAAGATAACCTTTCACTAACAAAAGGAAATTAGAACTGAATTTTTAGATCAGGGAACAAATCTATCTAGTCCACCAGTTAGGTTCAATAGTAACTAGGAATGGGACGAAACAGAACCAAGGAAGTGAAATCTGAAGCCATTTTCTACTGAGCAGTTTAAATAAACAGATATAATTCTATTAAGCAACATGCATGCGATGATAAATGATATATTATTCCAATTAAGAGGGAGCAAAAAAGGCTGCCATACTTTAGGAGTAGCTGAGGGGCAATTAAAGCAGTATTAAACAGTTTTCAACTCAAATTAACATTCACTGGGGTTAAAATATTTATTGACAATTTTAATGTGCGTGTGAAATATATATATTTCATTCAGTGTAGGAAAAGTATCTTTCATTTTTATTCCTATACATTATTTAGACAAACACAGGAAGATTTTTTTTTCTCTGTCCTTGGGCGAACACTGAATCCCAAACTTGTACAGGCCCAAAGCATGCTTCCACAGCCAACAAATGCCACATCTCGCCCTGATATACAGCTGCCTGACTGTAAGAGAATCTGCTCAACATACGTCCTGTTAATTCAGAATTCCTAGTCTTCACTGCTGGGACTCAACGGTTGTTCTCTTACAGCTGAATCCTTGAATGTAGGAGAAAAAAAGTTGTGGATCAAATGCCGAGAGTAAACAAGACCTGGAGATTTCAAAAAGAGAGATTTCCCAAAACCTGTAGGTCACAGTTGCTTCTTGGTTCAGTTTCAGAAAATCCTGCTTATTATTCTCAAGCATCCAAGTGGCGTGGATCTTTTTTTATACACAAATAAATGCAACCAATGTCCAGAAGTAAAGCTGTTGAGATGGATAAACACATGATGTTGTTTTGCTTCTGCAGCTTACACATTTCACCACAAAGTTAAACGGGTCTTTGAGCTTTAGGTAACCCGAGACCTGTAGGGTCTGAAAAGCAAACGTATGTATTAAAATAATTTTCAAATCTTGCACAGATAGTCCTCGACTTACAACAATTCATTTAGTGATCGTTTAAAGTTACAACAGCACCAAAAAAAGTGACTTACGACCATTTTTCAGAGTTACAACCTTTGCGGCCTCCCCATGGTCACGTGATCAAAAATTCAGTTGCTTGGCAACTGGTTTATTGTTTACGACGGTTGCTGAGTCCTGGGGTCACATGATCCCCTTTTGGGACCTTCTGACAAGTGAAGTCAATGGGGAAGCAAGGTTCATTTAACAACCGGGTTACTAACTTAACAACTTCAGTGATTCACTTAACAACTGTGGCAAGAAAGGTCGTAAAATGGGGCAAAACTCATTTAACAAATGTCTCACTTAACAACAGAAATTTGGGGCTCAATTGTAGTCAGAAATTGAGGATTACCTGTATTACCAAGGTTCTAATTCTCCTAGCCAAGGCTTCCTAACTTACACAGCATTCCAGGTGAAATGGATTTGCCACCCAAATCCTCAATCTTGCTTGTTAAACATTCTCGTTTCCAAAGCTAGCTTTGGAATTCAGAATGTATTGACTGATATACAATAACTAACATACAGAAAAATTGGAATGCCTTTGTTTGTATGTGAAAGCGCACATTAAAGAACTCACTGTAGCTATAAAAGAGCAGAAAAGTATATACTCAGAATTGCAAGCGATGGCTCTCCTCTCTCCAGATTTAAACACCCAACCAAACTAGAATGAACTCGGAGCACCCTGAGATCAAATCAAGGAAACGTGTGAAAGACAGACTCATAATGATTTTATTTAACAGAGTCGTGAAGACTCTCCAAACGATTCACAAATCACGGTCATGCCAAAATTTCCCACGTGAATCCATTTTACAAGCGAATGGATCAGGGGTGGAATCTACTTACCTTCCCTACCGGTTTGGAAGTGCGCGCGCTATGCACGTGTGCTAGCTCCGCTCACACACGTGTGCACATCACATGCAATTTTGGACCCTCTGCGCATGCACAAAGCCTTCTGCGCATGCACAATATGTAAAAAACAGGTTACTTCCTGGTTAAAACCAGGAAGTAACAACGTCCAAATGGAGCCTAGCGCCGCTGCTGCTACCGTTTCGCCCGCTGCTACCGGTGCGAACCGGTAGCATTTCACCCCTGGAATGGATCCTAAAAATAAGAGCTAGGATTCAGCAGCACCAAAAAAGATATTCTAGTATGCCATGCAAGAAATAGAAAGCTCTTACCAGATTCCTTGGTAAACTGTTTCACACCGTCCCCTCCTTGTGTGTTCTGATTGTGTGCTATGACACATGCCGGAAACCAGGTAATATCTGGCTATAAGAAGCAGAGAAAAATAAAAATAAAAATACTATACTATACCGTATAGTAGGGATGTGTACAGGTAGTCTTCACTTAATGACTGGTCACCTAGCAACCCTTCAAAGTTACAACAGACCTTCACAGAGCTACTTATGATTTTGAAGTTCTGATAGTCCCAATCCCCTTCCCCTTCCTAATGATTATATCATCACATTTTTGGCACTTAGCAAGTGGCTCATGTTTACAGCTGTTTGCTGCATCCCACAGTCATGTGACCCCAATTTTCAGGGGGTTTTGCTGGGTTCTGGTGTTTGTTTAAAATGGGTTCACTTTATGACTGCAACATTTTCTCAACGACCGCTGCAAAAAAATTAGCAATCATAAAGTCATATCATCAGGTGCGGTCATCTGGTGACCCACTTAATGACAGCCATGACTTACAACTGTATTTCCAGGCTCATTTATGTTCATAAGTTGAGGACTAGCTGTAATTCATTTCAATTTGAATTTTTTTCAAATTCAATCCTCCACCGCTCTTTTGAGCATGAAATGCCTTATTTCAAGCATGAAAAATATTTTTTTACGTGGGAAATTGGCTGTTTTATGCTTTCTGGAACTCATGAGAAGGACTGAATATCACTCAGCCAAAATGGACAAATAAGTAGGTCAGACAACTGCTTTATGCTTAAAGATGGGATTTTTTAAATCAGAAGAGGGATGTTTCAATCTCATAACAGAATTGAATTGGAACATCTCTGCTGTATATTTTCTACTAGAAACTTCCCAGCTCTTCATAATGAATGGCAGCAAATAGAAGAAAGCATCAATTG